CCCATCACCACCACAGTCGTCCTGAGCTCTGCTAGGGCCTCCAGAGCTGGGGCCCAGCTGTGAGGCCCGAGGGAGCTCCATACTGGCTGGGCCTGTTTCCTTCCCGACACACACTTCCCGCTGTCTGCCGCTGCTGGGGGGCGGGTCCCCATGTGACTTTAGAGGCCTGGGAACCTCAGTGCCCCAACTGAACATTGTTGGGGTCCTCCCTTTGGGTCCTACAGCCTCTCCCAAAATCAGGTCCTTGCCTCTCCCAAAATCAGGTCCTTGCCCATGGGCACACCCAGGCTGAGGCTTGTGGCCTACACATGCAAAGAGTCCTCAAGGTTTATGGTGGGAAAAGGGCGGGTTTCCCAGTTTCCTGGGGGAGCGCCTGGAAGCTGGTAAGAAACCAACTGGTAATATGTTCTAGACTAGAGTTAATTTCCCTCCCACTTGAAGCCCGAGAGCCTGAGCTAGGACCTTGGCTGTCATTCATAGAGCTTTCTGGACAGTAGTCCTGGAGGACAGAAATAGGGAGTATCTTGGGATGGACCTAGCATGGTCACAGGGTGCAGGGGCTGCCCAGGACCTTGATTGTCATCGACAACAAAGACTCACAAAGCCCTCAGTGCTCTACTTGTGCCAAGTCCTGTACCAAGGGGCAGCCGAGCCACAGAGAGCCAAGGAGCTTGCCCAGGGTCACACAGCTAGGCCGTGGCGGAGAGAAGCACGGAGCCGAGGTCTCTGGTCCCACTGTGGAGCACAGCCTGACTCGTCTCCCCTAGTCCTGCTTGCTCTCCCCTATACTCCCTGGCACCTTGTCTGTGGCATTCCTCCCCAAAGGTGTTCTCCACCTCCCACCCCCATCCCTAGTATGACGCTAGGACCCAGGCACTGAAAGTGTTCCAGTGGGGGTGTGGGCTAGGGGGACCAGTGGTAAAGGATCTCCTTTACCACTGTCTAGGTAGTGCAAGTGGTGAAGTGGCTTGACTTACTAGCCTAAAGGTCAGCAGTTCAAACCCACCCAGAAGCCTTCAGGAGATAGGCTGGCAATCCGCTTCCAAAAGGCCAAGGCTTGGGCAGGACTGGACGGTGACTATCAGCAACAGTATACCACTGTTTTACCTTACACATGCTTTGTCTTTGACATTTTGTTTGAAACATGTCATTGATTGCTTAGAATGAGGCTAAAGAATCATAGTTTGTAGGTTAGCTATATCGTTTTTGTAATATTCATTAAAATAAACGCACAACCTTAATAAATAGCTATTGTTCTTTTACTTACTGGGTACTGAGGACTGTTCTCACCACTGTGCAGACACTGAGTAATTTGCTCCCTATGATAATGCTCTCCCCATTTCACAGTTGAGAAAACTTGAGGTCTCCAGAGTAGGGAATTCCCCCACCCAGGGAGACCCACAGCTAGAAAACGATAGAGCCAGAACTCTAACCTCACTCTGCTAGATGGTCTTTATATTACGGAGCAGCTTCCGTATCAGCCAGAGCTCAGGGGCACAGCTGATAGGGTTGGGATTTGCAGGAGGAGCCCTGCGCCCTCCAGCCCCTCAGGGTGTCGTGGGCCGCAGCAGGACTGTTGGTCACTAACTGACGTCCTTGTCTGTCCCCCCCTGCACCACGTCCTTGGACTCTGGGGTCTCCTCCTGACTTTCTGCCCCCACCTCCCCCAGTGAACTGGATTACTACGACTCCCACAATGTTAACACACGCTGCCAGAAGATCTGTGACCAATGGGATGCCCTGGGCTCTCTGACCCACAGTCGTAGGGAAGCCCTGGAGGTAAGGTGGGAGAGGACCCCCAGAGCCTCGGGGCCAGGGAGGGGGGTGTACCATAGAGCCTTCCCTGCCGCCTCTGCCCACTGACGACACCCCCTCCGCCCCCTTCTCCCCCCAGAAAACAGAGAAGCAGCTGGAGACCATTGACCAGCTGCACCTGGAGTATGCCAAGCGGGCCGCCCCCTTCAACAACTGGATGGAGAGCGCCATGGAGGACCTGCAAGACATGTTCATTGTCCACACTATCGAGGAGATCGAGGGCCTGATCTCAGCCCACGACCAGTTCAAATCCACCCTGCCAGACGCCGACAAGGAGCGGGAGGCCATCCTGGCCATTCACAAGGAGGCCCAGAGGATCGCCGAGAGCAACCACATCAAGCTGTTAGGCAGCAACCCCTACACCACCGTCACCCCCCAGATCATCAACTCCAAATGGGAGAAGGTGGGCTGGGGCCCAGCAGCCAGAGGGGCTGGGACAGGGCCAATGGGGGGCGCCCCTGACCGCACGTCCTTCCCCCACCCCCCAGGTGCAGCAGCTGGTGCCAAAGCGAGACCACGCCCTCCTAGAGGAGCAAACCAAGCAACAATCCAACGAGCACCTCCGCCGCCAGTTTGCCAGCCAGGCCAACATCATGGGCCCCTGGATCCAGACCAAGATGGAGGCAAGGCTTGCCCGCTGAGCCCAGCAGCACCGCAGGGCTGAGTTGTAGGAGGGAGGTGCCCACAGGAGTGGCCCTGGGACCAGTGGACTGGACGGTTTCAGTGGGTTAGGAGCATCTGCAAGATTATGTGCCATCAAGAGGGAAGATGGGCTGGGGAGTTTGAGCTTCAGTTCTGCCCCTGGCTGGCGATGCTGAGCAGGCCCTCCAAGTGGGGTGGAAATAACGACTCTGCTCTGTGTGGGCCTCTGTGGGCACTGTTGGTCAGAGCAGGGACCCCAGCACACTCAATCACAGACCCTGTGCTGACAGGGAGCAGTGTGAGCCATGTGGTAGGTACCAGGCAGGCCCACCCACAGCCCAGTGCTTACCTCACAGCCAAGGGAGTCAGGAATACAGGCTCTGGAATCAGCTCCTGACTCCTCTTACTGGATTCAGCCAGTCACAAGCAGGTCGTGCACTTGGCACTGCACTGTGGCTGCTTTTCCCACTATAGGGCAGCACTGAGGGACCCGCTGAGAGCAGCAGGCCTCCCAGGTGGGGGACCATGTGGGCAACCACTGGAGGCCTCCTCCGGCCTGTCCCACCTCACCTCATCCCTGCCCCTGTGGTACCCGCTGCAGGAAATTGGGCGTATCTCCATTGAAATGAACGGGACCCTGGAGGACCAGCTGAGCCATCTGAAGCAGTATGAGCGGAGCATTGTGGACTATAAGCCCAACCAGGACCTGCTGGAGCAACAGCACCAGCTCATCCAGGAGGCGCTCATCTTCGACAACAAGCACACCAACTACACCATGGAGGTACCGCCACGGCCTGGGCGCACGCCTGCCCACACAGCAGAACACTGCTTTCCCGCCACCACCTCCTAACCCTAACCACCACGGCCTGGGCACACGGCAGAACACTGCTTTCCCGCCAACCCCTCCCCATTGCCCTGACGCTGCATCCCTTGGAGCAAGCCCAGCCTTCCAGCTCCTAAGAGCCAACTGTTAGTTTGTAAGAGTTTTGCCATCGAGTGGATATCACTGTCAGCTTAAACTTGTCCACGGTGGGACTATCTGCCAGTGCCCCAGGATTGGGGTGGTCTCTCCCACTTAGAGCAGTGCCCCAGGACTGGGGTGGTCTCTCCCGCTTAGAGTAGTGCCCCAGGATTGGGGTGGTCTCTCCCGCTTAGAGCAGTGCCCCAGGACTGGGGTGGTCTCTCCCGCTTAGAGAAGTGCCCCAGGAGTGGGGTGGTCTCTCCCGCTTAGAGCAGTGCCCCAGGACTGGGGTGGTCTCTCCCGCTTAGAGCAGACCTCTCGGGAGTCTCAGGGTCAGCTTCTCTCCTGCGTCAATCATGGGGTATGAACTCCTGCAACAGCATTCCTGCTTGTGGGCCAGAGACCAGGAGAGCAGGTGCTGTCAGATGTGGGCTTCACCACTTGTCCACTGCACAGGAGAGCATGGGACTGGGTCAGGGCTGGGGAGGGTCCAGCACAGCACCCCCTGTTGACCCCTCAGCTGTGGCCCCATCGCTCCCAGAAACTGGGCCCAGCAAGCAGCCATGCCCTGTCTCCTACCAGCACATCCGTGTGGGCTGGGAACAGCTGCTCACCACCATCGCGCGCACCATCAACGAGGTGGAGAACCAGATTCTCACCCGAGACGCTAAGGGCATTAGCCAGGAGCAGATGCAAGAGTTCCGGGCGTCCTTCAACCACTTTGATAAGGTGAGCTCCCTCCCCCAGGCCTCCCCGCTCCCTCCCCATGTCACCTTCGTCTCCTGCCCTGCCGTCTCCTGCCCTGCCCTCTCGTCTTTGCATTTGTCTGCTCCTTCTGTCCACCTGGGGGGGAGGGGGTGGCAGAGGTACAGGCTCAGCTCCTACAGCTTCTGGTGTGGTCTGGCAGTTCTAGACCTGCAATACCATAGGCCCCTCAGAGGGTCCTGAACCCCAGTGCTAGCTCCTGTCTAACCCACTCTGCTGAGCTGGTGTGTCAACCCTGCCTCCATTGGTGTGAGTGTGCAAACTCAGCTCTCCACTCGGGCCGGGCCCCGTGCATCCCCAGCAGGATTCGAGTGCCAGGAGAGGCCCCACCTAGACCCCCACAAGCCCTGAGCCTCCACTTTCAGTCCTACGTCAGCCCCCACCAGCATAGGTGGGCAGGGAGGCTCCGACTGTCCCGAAGGCCGCCTTGGAAGCAGAAGCCAGAGGAAAGGGGCGAGATCTCCTTCACACCACCTCCACCCCTCCTTGTCCACGTCATCCTCTAACTGTGTGTTTCCCTTCCCTGTGTGTCCCCTTCCCCTGCCCCTCTGCATGTGACTCGGGCCCCCTCCCCGCTGCTCTCGCCTGCCTGGCCCGTACACCTCCATTGGGATGGCCCCCCAGGACCATGGCGGGGCGCTGGGGCCCGAGGAGTTCAAGGCCTGCCTCATCAGCCTGGGCTACGACGTGGAAAATGACCGGCAGGTACGCGCACCCCAGGGCCCCAGCAGACTCGACATTAACCGCTCTTCTCTCTCCTTTTCTCTCTTTCTTTCCCACCTTCTCGCCATTCCACCCCTGCCACTGTGTGTCCCATGTCACTGGCTCTCGGCCTACTCCCTGTCCCGTGTCTCTCTGGACACCTTCCCCTTTACCTGGTCTCTCGGGGCCTCCTCTGTCTCCCCTGCTGTGCGCATGGGCGGGCCCCCCTGCTGCCCTCGTCCTTGGAGCAGAAGCAGACAGGCAGCATGGACGCTGACGACTTCAGGGCTCTGCTTATCTCCACAGGATACAGCCTGGTATGCGTCCCTGCCTCCCCCAGCTCACCGCCACCCCTCCTGCCACCCCTCCGCCTCCAGAGTCTCCGTGTTCCGGGGACAGCCCTGACCAGAGGCCCAGCTTGGCCCCCTCCTCCTTTGCTGCATCTGCGGGCTGGTCCCCTCTGAACCTTCCCTGTGCTGTCTCCTCTCCTAGATCTCCAAGAAGGCGGGCCCTCCTCCCGGTCCTCTCCCTCTCTCTTTCTCTCTCTCTCTCCCTCTGCCCTCCAGAACTAACTCTTGAGCCTAGGGCTGAGGAGCAGTAGACCTGTTTGATCCACACCCAACTCCCCTTTTCCCAAAGGACCTGGGATGGGAGGAAGCAGAGGGGCAGCCTCTGGCCCACTGTTAGGGAGCACAGGACAGGCGAGGCTGGCTGACAACAGGGTCAGGGCCACTCTCCACTGGACCTGGCTGTCTTGCTCCACTAACTGCCACCTTCCCCGTCCCCACTCCCACCTCACAGGGCGATGCCGAGTTCAACCGCATCATGAGTGTGGTTGACCCCAACCACAGTGGCCTGGTGACCTTCCAAGCCTTCATTGACTTCATGTCTCGGGAGACTACAGACACAGACACGGCTGACCAAGTCATCGCCTCCTTCAAGGTCCTGGCAGGGGACAAGGTAAGTGCACTCCTCAGCAGCTGCAGCGGGGACTGGGTGCATGCATGGTGGGTGGTGTCTCAGCATCCGGCCTGTCCTCTCCCCACCCCCCAGAACTTCATCACAGCCGAGGAGCTGCGGCGAGAGCTGCCCCCCGACCAGGCCGAGTACTGCATCGCCCGCATGGCACCCTACCAGGGGCCTGACGCTGTGCCAGGCGCCCTCGACTACAAGTCCTTCTCCACAGCCCTGTATGGCGAGAGCGACCTGTGAGGTCCCCACCGGAGAAACCCTGACCAAACCCTTCCTCACGGCCTCCCGGAGGGGCTGGGGGAGCCCTTGTACCTTCCCCTGTGGGGTACCCCGTAGCCGTCTCCTCTGACTCTGTATCTATGCAAAGCGCTCTCTGTCAGTCTTTCCGGGGAGGGGGCGCAGGGCGGGTGGGACCAGGCACTCTCCTCTCTTGGTTGCTTGGCCTGTAGGGTCTTCCCCTCCCCTGGTGGGGTGAGCGAGACCATTGGGGTCAGCGCTGCTGGTCTGGAAAATACTTATGATGTGTGGGGGTTTGGGTTTTTTTTATTTTTGTTTTTAAACTCAGTGGAGAGAACAATGGGGTCCCCTTGTGTCCCGAGGAGGCCCCTCCATTCCCGGGTCCCCTCTCTGGCCCTGAGGTCCCTTCAAGGCCTCCTACATCTAGGCCGAAGCCCTATGTGCCTTGTCCGGGAGCCCAGGTCCTGTGATGGGTCCACAGTTACCGACGGGAAAGGGTACCCCCGCCACAGCCTCCTCCTCTCTCAATCATTTGTGATTGCCTGGAGGTGGGGGGCACAACTGAGCGCCCCCTCCCCTGTGGCAGTAAAGGGGGGTGGGGTCACTGCTCACCCCCACCAGCCCTGGCTTTGCTTTTCTGGACTCGCTTCTCTTTCAGATTTACTAAGGACCAAAAAAAAAAGGCAAATCCACACACACAAGCAAAGAAAAACTATTAAAAAAAAAAAAAGAAAGAAAGAAAGAAAGAAAAACTTTCAGAGAATGACTATGTACTTTCTTAACTTACGGATTTATTATATAAATATATATTCACCTAGCAACGTCTGCCTGTGGGCCTTGGTGGCTCTCCTAATGAAGACATAGCTGACTTGCTCCTCCCACACCCCTGCCGGCTTCCCACTCTTGGCTGCTGTTGGGCGCTTCTCAGACTCCCCTCACCAGGAGGGTGGCCTGGCTGCCTGGTAGTTGATGGGTTTGCTCCCTTGTTTATTTCTCTCATCGTTTTTTTGTTTTGTTTTTGTTGAGCTTATTCTGATCGATTATTATTTTTTTTCTTGGTTTCTGGATAAACCACCCTTCTGGGGACAGGATAATAAAACATGTAATATTTTTAAGACGGATTCCGAAAGCATCCTCTCTGTCTCTTCTGTCTCTCTCCCATCTCTGTCCTCCACTTTTCCCTTGGTGAGTCAGGGAGTGGCAGGCCCCTGTCCCTGTTCTCCCAATGTGGGACCCCAGCGTGGGGTAACTGGGATGTCTGCACAGTGGAGGGGGCCTGGATGGCGGTCTCAGTGTCGCCCCATGCATGTTCTGACTCCAAACCACGTGATATTGGAGCCTCAGAACCTGGGACTCAGCAGGGAGGCAGACAGGCTGGAGAGGTGGTTCTGCCAGGCCGCAGCCCTCCCCCGGTAGAGGAAGCCCTGGGCCAGGGCTGGGAGCAGCAGGTGCAGGTTCCTGAGAGCTAGGAGAAGGTGGCCACCTCCATCCACTGGGGGAGAAATGAAACAGGGTTCCAGGCAGGATCTCCCCACCTACCCTCCCAGAGCCACCCTCTCTGTCCCTGCAGCCCTGGCTCACCTGTCTGTGGGTCAGGCAGACAACCCCCTCACCCCCATCTAGGTACCGGCTGCAGTGACCTGTGCGGAGAGGGACAGGATGAGCTCCGTACTCCTCTCTGGCCCTGGCCTCTGCCTGCCCACCGTACCAGGGTGGGGGTAGCGGGGAGGCACTCACGGAAGATGCAGGTGAGCTGGGCTGCACAGGATACAAAGCGCTCCAAGTCCACACGCAGACGGCTGTCTCTGTAGCGGCTAGTGAGGACCTGGGTCAGCTGGTTGTTGAGATGAAAGCCTGGGAGGAGCCCCCCTGTGAGTCCCACCTCAGCCTTATACCCCAATTCCCCAGGAAAAAGCACAGGCCTATGCCACCCTCATCAGTGTGGGGGCTCTAGCCCAGTCCAGCTGTGTGAGCACAAGCAATCCCCTTCACTTCTGTGGACCTGGGGCCCTCATCCTTAGTGGACAGGCCTGACCCTGTAGGACTGTGAAGATTGGAACCGTGTGAGTCAAGACCACCGTACCTTCTAACTGTACAACGCTTCTCTGCAGGCCCCACAGACTCAATTGCTCTATTTTATATCTGAGGTGATTTATAACACTTCAAAATCATCCCTGATGTGGAATCTCAGGAAACCCAAACCAAGCCCATTGGCATCCCATCCATCTGGACCCTGACTAGACTGCTCCAAAGGATTTCCAAACAACGAAACCTACAGGAGCAGACAGCCTCATCTTTCTCTGGGGGAGTTGGATCTTACGACCTTGCTCAACGCCTAACCCAGGGAAGGCGCCTTTGAAATCTCAGTATCAAACCCACTGCCAACAAACAAGTCAACTCCAACTCAGGGACCAGAACCTTATGGAGGCTTTCCAAGATAATCTACAGGTCAAAGAGCCTCATCTTTCTCCCTAGGAGCTACTGGTGGGTTTGAACTGCCAACTTTGTGGTTAGCAGTCCAGTGTTTATCCTATACTTAAAAGCCTCAAATGGTGGCTTTTGACTCCTTGAAGATCACAGATGATTCTCGGGACACCCCACATCCCCAGATGGACAGATCACGGGGTAATCCATGAACTTCCACTGCACCTTAAACCTTGCTTTTGCCCCCATCCTGCCCTATTTACAAGTGCTGAGTGTCATTAAGGGACCCTGGTGACACACTGGTTAAGTGCTGGGCTGCTAACCACAGGCTGGTGGTAGGAACCCACCCAGCGGCTCCCCAGTATTCCTCAGCCCCCTAGGGCCTCAGTCCACACCTGCTGCCTTCAGCGCCAGCCTCAGCTCATAGGAGTTCATGGTTCCCGAGGCATCCTCATCGAACTTGTCAAATGTGGCCTAGGCAGGGGAGGTCCGGATCAGGGCCCAGTCCTGCCCACCCCGTCCCCAGGCCTCTGAGAGCTGGAAGAAGATCCACAGCTCCCTCTCCCCTTTCTGTTCCCCGGCAAGCACTTGGGCCACTTTGGGCCTCTGTTTCTCAGTCTAAAATGGTAACGTGTCCAAGTTCCCCAGGATCAGAGGTGGCTGGAGTGAGAATATCCCGCTCCTGCTTGGGCCCTGGGGCCCCCTCCCTCCAGAAGGAGGCAGTCCCACCTGGGCCCACCTTACCTGCCACTCCTGGAGGCGGCCCCAGAGCTGCTGGAAGTGGTGCAGGGTCAGGCTTCCCCCGTGCTAGTGAGAGGATGTCTAGTTACTTGTAGTTCCTGGTGGGGAGCAGAGGCCTCAACCATCCCCCCCAGCCCCAGGCACTGCCTTCTGTACCCCAAAACACTGCAGCAGCTGCTCACAGGTCCTGAGCCCAATCTCTCCAGGGGTCCGGGTGTAGGCCCTGACTAGGAAAAGATCAGTCTCTAAAACCAGCATTTCCTGGGAACTGGCCACCATCGAGGCATCAAGTCTCTTGTTTTAGAGATGGGGGAACCGAGGCACAAAGTTGAACCAACAGTGGTTTGAGTCTGCTCACTGCAGCTCCATTCCTAACCTCTCACTGGAGGAAGCAGACCTTCGGGTGCTGTGATCCTGGCCACCGGTCCTGCATGTGGTCTGACTACCAGGCCACATGGGGCGCCAACGGGGCCCAGATCTGGTTGTAAGGGCCCCTGGCCAAGACCACCCCCAGCCCCTAATACACATGCAGACACACGGACAACTCACCAGGTTCCAGGGCAATGCTTATTAAGACCTGGAGCTGGGAGGCACCGAGTTCTTCCTCCTGCTCAGGGAGAGGTGGGTTGTGGGGCCAGTCTTTCCAGAAGTCCCACAACACGAGATATGGGCCCACCCTGTGCTGGCCAGTGCAGGGACAGCCATTGACAGCTCACAACCCATCCATCCCCAGAGTGGTCAGGGCTAGGAGCACTGGGCGGGGAAGCCCAGCTCCGAAGGCATCAGGGATGGCTTCCAGAGCCTCACCTGGGTAAAGGTGTGAGGGGAAAGGAGACATTATCAGACCCAAAGGACAGACTGAGCAAAGGCCCTGGGGTGGACAGGAGAAGCAAGCACACTGCAGGAGGGAGACACTAAAGCAAAATGAGGCCTAGGATAGGGGAAGAAACCCTGGTAACAGTGGGTTAGACATTGGACTGCTAGCTGCAAGATCGAAGTTCAAACCCACCAGCTGCTCTGAGGGAGAGAGATGGGAGATGCTCTTATAAAGATTTCAATCTCAGAAACCCTTCTTGTTAAGTGCTGTGGAGTCCTTTTCAACTCATAGCCGCCCTGTGTAGGGTTTCCAAGGAGTAACTTGATGGCTTGAACCAAAGACCTTGCGGTTTAGCAGTCTAATACCTATGGTACAGTGCCACCCTATATGAAACCCTATAGAGGGTGGCTGTGAGTTGGAATCCACATAATGGCAGTGGGTAGAGGATAGAGGCTGGGGCGACCCCCTCAGCCCGGCTTCTTCCTACCTCTCCGGCAAGCTCCTGAAACAGCTGCTCCAAGCCTAGCTCCAGGGGCACATAGGGGGCCTGTGGGGTGAAGGGCGTTTAGTTGTGATCCAGAGGACCCGACCCCTGCAGTCTCCCCCTCCAAGAGCAGCCCCTCACCTTGAGGACCTGCAGGTCGGCACTGATGACGTCATCGATCTCCCTGCAAATTACAAAAGAACGAGAGGGGCGGGGCTGGTGCCTCAACCTCTAGGGTCGCAGGGCGGGGTGGGTCTAGGGGCCCGGGATTAGAAGGCGGGGGACCCCAGAAGCGGGGCTGGAGACCCTAGGTCCTGTCTCTGCGTGTTGGGGACCGGGGCGGGGCTCACACGGCCGTGTGGCTGCGTTCGGAGAAGATACGCAGCGTGAAGTCGGCCTCGTCGCCGGCGTTGGCCGCGCTCGGGACCACTAGGTAGTGGCCGGGCGGCAGGCGGCATCGGCGGCTCACATCGCGGCGCGGGCAAAAGCGCGAGCGGTCGGCTTGCAGCAATCTGGGCAGGAGCGTGCGGCTGCACGGAGAGTCCCAGAGGCCCAGTAGCTGGGGGAGCGAGCAGGAGGAGGGCGCGTCCAGGCATGACCACGACCCCCCTAGTTTACCCCAGCCCATCCCTCCAACCCAGACCACTCCCCGCTAAGCCCACCACGTTCCACCCAGCCCCCACCTCCCTAACCCTGGGCCCCCTCCACCACCAGCGCTGGTTGTCCTAGCCCGCTGGGCTGTTTGTTATCAGGGACTGAAATCTAGGACCCACCTCCTCTGGGATCTGTAAGAAGAAGGAGAAAGGGAGTCAGGGGCTGGCGGAGAGGTGATTACACCTCAGAGTCCCTACCCTGCCAACCTTCCTCACCTGAGCCCCCTCCCTCTCCCTTCTTCCCAGTCTACCCCTCATTTACCTCCTATCTGATCCTCCCCGCTGAGCTCTGTGTCCTCAATCCTATCTCTGTCTGACTCCCAGAGTCTCCCTGTGATATCCTCAGTCCTTCTTCCCTCTGAAACGTGGCTTCCCCACCCTCTCTATCTTCCTGAAGTGCCTCTCTGCCCCCTACTCCCCAGGTCTCAGCAACTGAACCTCACCTGGAATACATGAAAGCCCACAGTGAGGTAGGTGAGGCCCCGGGCCCTCAGATGTCGCCGGTTTCGTTGGATGAGGGACAGGAGGACAGTGCACTTGGGGATGCGGCCTCCCCGCGCCAGGCCCCGTGCCCCTGGTGCCCCCCAACCCCCCCATGGCCCCTGTTCATCATCATCTTCCTCTTCCTCATCTGGCTCCAACAGCGTCAGACGAAACTGAGGGTTGGTCCAGAAGGTTTCTAGTTAGGGAGAAGGAAATGGGATTACCTAACCAGCTGCACCCCGACCCGTCCCCTCCATGCCTCACAGGGATCCCCTCCAGGCCTCACCAGCACCAGGTTGGCTCCCGCCAGAGTTGAAGCCTCGAACCCAGCGACCTTGGAAAGTGTGGATGTGCCAGCCGCCCCCAGCAGGTGTGGGGCCCAGCACCTCTGGGCTCAGTGAGCAAATCTGGACCGTGTGGAAGTGGTGGAGGAAATCCTGCAGCTCCATCCTGGACAGTGGCCAGCGGTCAGGCCTGCCCAGCTCCCCCAAACACCTCAAGATTCCAGGGAGGGTCTCCCAAAGAACGAAACAGCCCAGATTCCCATACTACTGCCAAGTGTTGCCACGTCTCCAGAAACAATCTATAAATTGCTGAGTCCTCAATCTCTCCCAAATCTAAGGCTCCAGAAACAGCCCAACGAATCACCAAGTTCCACAAACTGCCGCTGAATATTGATAAATTGCCTCTAACCTTCAAGCATCAAGCCTTTCAGACTCACTTAATTAACAACTAGCCTGCAGCCCTTCCATGTTGCCAAGTTTCAAGAAATGCCCTAAATATCACACATAAAAAACAAGTCGATTTTGACTCATGGCAACCCCGTCATCTCCTTCCATTGCCCTGAATGTGACCCAATGCCCTTCAACTGCCCAAACCCAAAACCAAGCCTGTTGACGTGCAGTTCATTCTGAGTCATAATGACCTCAGTGTGATAGATTAGCACTGTTCCATAGGATTTGTTAGCTGTAATCTTTATAGAAGCAGACCACCAGGACTTTCCACCACTGCACCACTGTTTTCAGATTCTTCTAATGTTAATAGGTCTCTCTCGACTCCCCCAGATAGAACCCAACTCCCAAATCACCACCAGTAATGATAAGATGGCCAGTTCTTCCCTATGAGGACACCTGGCCCCTAATTTCTATGTCACTTCAAGCCCCTTCCATGGGTGGTGCCAATGCCTTGCCCAACTCACCAGAACTCACCATCCTCCTTTTTCACCATCAGGGTATCTCGCCACTCAGCAGGGATTGCATCCCAACGTGGGCAGCTGGGGAGATGTGGATGTGAGAGATGGGTGGGTGGGGCTAACCCTCCCCGCACCTGAGCCAGACCTGTCCCACCTGTCACTCCAGGCCCCTGTCCACTCGACACGGCCCCATGGATTCCGAAGTCGCAGCAGCCGCACCTTGGTGAAGCCCAGAGACACCTGAAGGAGACGTTGTTAGTTGGGGGGAGAGGGCATGCTAGACAACCCTGCTAGCCCCTCCCCAGGGAGGGTTGTCACCTTGTGCACGCCTGTGACTGAGTATGCATGTCCCTTCACCAGTCCATCATCCGTAAGATATTCGCCCCGATCACTCTGAGCGGAGGACAGGGTACAATGAGGCCACAGTGTGGGAACAAGATGGTGGCTGCTCCTCTCTGCCCCCCATCCTCCTGCCATGAAAACACCCATAAGAATGGCACAGGGTTCCGGGAAGGTGTTGGGGCTGGTGAGTGAGGGTGAAAGAGAAGGGAGAAAAGAGAGAGATACGAGAAAAGTAAATGGCAAGAGGAAAGAGATGGACTAACAGAACAGAGAGAAAAGGCAATTAGTTACTGACTACAAAATAAAGTAATGAATGAATGAGTATGTGAGTGGGTCAGAGGTGAGCACTTGACCCAAGCTGAGTCCAGGAAAATCAATCCTGAGACTTTAGCTAAAATGATCAAGAAGAGGTTTTTTTGTGCTTTTTTAAAAAAAACAAAACAAAACTCCTGGGGTGGAGGGAGGTACTTGCAGCTGTTGGGGCCACCCTTGTGCCATGAAGGTAAAGACTGCCTGAGAACTAAGATTAGAAAAATACACACGTAACATCCTCTGAGCACCTGGATCCAGCTGTACCTGAAGCCATACATGAGAGCAAATTTATGAGAGCAAATGAATTTCTAGTTGACTTGTGAGAGACAATAAACTAACAGCTGAAGCTGAGAAAAGAAGGAACGCCACCCCCAAATATGCTCTGGTCCTGGTGGGGGTCCCACAGAGAAGCCCAACTCTCACCAGAGCAGTGGCACCGACAAGGGACTCCTTGGCCAGGGCTTGGCGAAGAGCAAAGAAGAGGCCTGGGGTGTCCTTCCTCAAGTAGATCACCTCGCCTATGCCGCCAGTGAAGTCCACGAAGGCCTCGTTCATGTGGCCACCACGCATCACCTCATAGGAGCCGTGGAGCCTTGGGACCAGGTCCGGGTACAGAGTCTGAGGCTTGGGTACAGAGTCTCCGGCAACCCCCTTGGGATTGGACGGGCCTCTGGTTGTACCCTTAAGGGGCCATATTGGGTGATGCATCAGGAATAAGAGAAGGCTTTCTGTTCCCACAAAGATTCACAGCCTCAGAAACCCTACAAAGGGTGGCTATGAGTTGGAATCAACTGGATGGCAGTAGGTGTGGGTTTTGGTTGATGTGGAACCCCTGGGGATCCTGAAGTGGGAGACTATGGGCCGGTCTGGAAGCCACTGGGTTTGCAGTCTCTGGGGGCTATAGAATACCTATGCCAGGATTCTGAGCGCCTGGGGATGTCTATAAGTTTGTATCCCTGGGAGCTGTCCAACTTGTGGGTAATCTGTTATGGAGGCTATATTCAGGAGTCTTGGTATGGAACTGTAGGATAAGCACTGGTCATTTGAACTACAAGGTTGAAGGTTCAAAGTCACCAGCGACTCCTTAGAAACCTTATATAGGATCGCTGTGAGTCGGAACCAACTTGATGGCACTTAACAATAACAGCAATCAGGATTTCAGAGCCACAGTATAGGTAACGAGAAAGACATGAGGATCCCAGAGATCGCACCCAATATTCGGGAGTACTTTGTGTTTCCAGGTAGACAGGAGAGATGATCTGATCCCTGAGGGAATAAATCTCAGATGTGCTAAATCCAGGGAATGAAGAATGTAATTTCTGGATCTTTAAGGATCATGGATGGTGGATAGGTCTCGGGAACTTGGGGGGAAATGTTAATAGTGGGAGGTGTTCCAGATTTGGGGGTCCTTGGGCTGGGGTGACATTGGAGTCCTAAGGAGTTATAATGTTTGGGATAATTGGGGTTGTATGTGAGGTAATTAGGAAGCTGTGTTTGGGGGATTCCAGGGGGCTTTAGGGTTCCAGGGGACTCTGGGGGTTCCATACAATTTGGTCCCTGGGATTACCACCTCAGGGGGTGGTCCTCACTTGGCATAGGCCTTCTCCAGTAGTGGAGCCCAGAATTCGTTCCGCTGTTTGGACCGCACGAACATCAGCTTCCCGTCACGCACGGGCAGACGGTCATCCACCACGACATCCACCCAGTGGCCAAACTGCCAAAGCTGACAGGAAAAGGGGTAGTCTGGGGCCATGGGTCAGCTTCCACCCTCCACCCATGCCTGGGCCTCAACCTCTCACGCCTGACCCTCTTGTTGCTCATCCCAGAACCCAAGCATTACAGCTCCAAAAGGTTAATGTCAACTATGAAATCCATGTCACTATGGGGAAACCGAGGTACAGGCAGAGGAAATGGCCCTACCTGGAAGTGGAAGACACCGGCGTAGCCATCTTGGAAACTCTGTCCAGTGGGGACCACCCGGTATAGAAGTCGAGGGTACAGAGTGAGGGAGGCAGCCGCCGCCAGAAACCAGCAGTTACCTTGGAGGAAAGACTAGGATTGGGCATGGATAGAGTGAGGGGGACCGAGGGAGGAGACTGAGGTACAGGGAAGGTCAAGGGGTAGAGAAGGGGAAGACCTAGGGAGAGAAAGGGGAGAAACCAAGGGTCAGATAAAGGGGAGATGGAGGAGCAGATAGGGGGAAACCCAGGGACAGAGAGAGGAGAGAATGAGGGAGCAGAGTTGTCAGGGTCTTAGCTGCATCTTGCTGGGTTTGGAATTCAAGATAGCTTCAAGGAGCTCACCCAGGCTCCCCTGACACACGTCTGTCCGACTCATATCCTCACAGATGAACTGGGGCTCAGAGCAAAATTCCTGGGAATGACAGAGGATTCCAGGCTTAGGGAGGGAAGGAGCAACTGGGAGGTCAGACGCCTGGGTCTCCTCTTGCCCTCTGTTTGCTCCCTAGTAATGAGGGCCTCCAACTCTTGAAAGGCCTTTAAAGTCCGTGGGCAGACTTTAGGCTTCCCTGGGCCTCCCTGGATCCAGCAGGTCCCACGGTGACTCCATTCTCCCTCAGAGCCTTCCTCAGACTAGGAGTCCCAGCCAGCCTCATCCTCCCTCAGACCCAAGAGTCCTGGTCCCCAAACCCCTTCTCCCTCAGACTAGGAATGTCTGCCCCTCCTCCCTTAGACTAGGAGTCCCAACTGGGCTCCATCCTCCCTGGGGCCCAGGAATCCTGATCTCTAGTCCCAGCCTCCCTCTGATCCAACAGTCCCAGCTGAAGCCCCACTTTACTTGGGGTCTCTTCCATTCCACCCCTTTGGCCTTCTCTGAGTCTGGACCCAGCTGGTCATAGCCAAGTGCATCAGGGCCAGCAAGGAAGTAGGGGTCTCGGAACAGGATCCCTGCATCCAGGCAGGCTGCCCGGATTGCCTCGAATCTCTGGCCCCGGAAGAGCTTCGGGCCCCCAGCTCCATCTTCAGCTTCTTCGTCCACCAGCTGGATGGTCACTGTCCTGCTGCCGTACGCCATCTGGAGACTCTGGGCTTGCAGGCTGGCCCCAGGCCCTTTAACCTCCTGAGTCATGGGGGTGGGGCCTCTGCACCCACTGAGTGCTGATGTTGGGGAGGGGGGGAATCTTCTCTTGTTAATATTAATTGATGGTTTGGGATGCCGGAGATCTGGGACGCCTATTCAGTGGTTTCCTCCCTGGGGCGTGGGGCCTTCAGTTGTGGCCAGGGTAACAGCTTAATGAGCTTGACCAGCAGCAGGAGAGAAGGTGGGCAGAGCTGAAGGGGGATTGGCTGCTTCTGTGGAAATGCCAAGAAAGAGGTCACTGTGTGGGGTGCGCTTCTGCCTGCTTGTCCTTTTGGGTGTTTTTCCGTGGGGCTGGAAGAAGGTGGGCGTGAGAAGAGATTGTCCACCTGTGTCTCTCTAGATAGTTTCTCTGTCTGCCACTGGATTCTCCTTCCCCTCTTGGTCACACTGTCTCCACTGCTGTCTCTTTGTGTTTCTCTTCTGCTATATGTGTGTTGTTGCTGTCTGTCTTGGGTCCCCTCACTGTCCATACCTGCCTGTCTCCTGTTGGGATCTGGCAATCGCCAAGGGACCATTACACTTATCCTGCCCACTCAGAATGTGGGACCTGGGAGTATGTCACCCAAAAGCATGCTGAGGCATTAGAAGAAATTGACAAATAGGTCCCAGGGGGTGGTCAGAAACCCTCCAGTACTCATCCTGTCCCTCAGTCCTCTGGTAGTCTTCCTTTCAAGTGGACCAAGAGAGATTGTCTGAATCCTCAGCTGTGTGGCCATTGAAAAGGGTAACAATTCTTCTTGTGGAATTTCTAAGACCTCCCCTGCACCGGTGATGCTGCCAGAGTGGTGGTTTTGTGCCGTGGCGTCGGTTCCGACCCATAGCGACCCTGTACAGGGTTTCCGAGGCTGCAAATCTTTACGGGAGCAGAAAGCCTCATCTTTCTCCCGCTGAACAGCTGGTAGTTTCAAACTGCAGATCTTGAGATTAGCAGCCCAACTCGTAACCACTACGCTACCAGAATTCCATGTTGCCACAGTTGTGGTTGTTAAGTGCTGTCGCATTGATTCCGACCCATAGCCAGCAGTAGTGACACCAAAATGATTGTCTATACAATTTTTGTGCAGTGTTTCAACAGAAATTTATTATTTTTTATAAATGTACCTTTGTAGCTAGTTATAACAACAAAAACATTTTTTATAAGCCCAGCTAATACCTGTTGTTAAGTGCTACCCAGTCAGTTCCAGCTCAAAGTGATCCTGTAGAGGGTTTCGGAGGAACTACTGGTGGGTTTGAACCACTGACCTTTCCATGAGCAGTCCAGTGCTGATCCTAGAGAGCCACACCAGGATGCCATCACTATACCTACAAGGCTAAAACTCTATGCTAATTTGCTTTTGAACCTTCTAATGCATGGTGGCTCTATACAGTAAGCACTGAGCTATAAATCACGTGAAGGTTTCCTTAACAGATGTTACACATGCAGTTACTTCTGATGCCTTTTTAGTTAATAATTTTGTCAGATTTTTTTTGGTGTCTTAACTACAATATTGTAATACACAATATATAAGTATTTATGAACCTGTATCAATCACTTTAAAAAAATGAAGTAATAATTAAAGGAAAAGAAGAAAAAAATTTTAAAAAGGGATTCCACTCATTTACTAATAATGCTAATAATAATGTTGTAATTCAACATAGATTTTACAAAATGATTTTGTTTTGTTATTTCTGTTATTGGTTTTGTTGTTAGGTGCCATCGAGTCAGTACTGACTTACAGCGACTGTATGTACAACAGAATGAAACATTGCCCCGTCCTGCGCCAACCTTACAATACTTGTTACATTTGAGTCCATTAGTACTGCCACTGTGCCAATCCATCCCGTTGGGGGTCTTCATCTTTTTCGCTGACCCTCCACTTTACCATGCATGATGTGTCTCCCCAGGAATTGGTCTTCCTGACAGTATGTCTGAAGTATGAGAGACGAAGTCTGGCTATCCTGGCGTCTAAGGAACGGAACGGCTGTACTTCTTCCAACACAGATTTTTTTCTTCTTTTGGCAGTCCATGGTACTTTTAATATTCTCTTCCACCACCATAACTCAAATACATCAATTCTACTGTCTAATTTTTGTTGTTAGTATTCATATAATCTGAGAAACATTGCCTTTAAGCAATTTACAAGTGTATCACTTATTATTCTATGATTGAAATTAATAATAAACTCACATGTATAACAATGAATGATTATAATATGTAACTTGGATAACTAAATAGAGCAATTGACACTTTCAAATATGAAGTGGGGGGAATACTGTGTTTCTTTGACTGTTGTTGTTGGTGTTATTAAGTGACATCAAGTTGGTTCTGACTCACAGCTCCCCTATATAGGGGTTCTGAAGCTTTAAATCATAGAGGAAGCAAAAAACCTCATCTTCCTCCTGCTATTTCTTTGATACATGTTTAGACATACAACTTAAATCTTATATTAAAATTTTTTTAATTTAGTACTAAAAAATTTTCCTTTAAAACATCCCTGTCTTGTTACAGGATAGTCACATCATATCTCGGGTGATGGGGAGGGCAATATACAAGGAAGGGGAGGTCAAAACACAAGAAAGGGAAAGGGGGTGGAAAAATAAGAAAGGTAGGGAACACTTAGGTAGATTTGCGTGGGCTAAATGGGACAGAGGTAAATAGTGATGTATACTCAACCTTGGAACAACAGGGCTTTGTGATGCAGGGATCGAGGCATAGTCTGAATGAGTAAAAGAGGGGAAATAATGTTAAGATGCTTCGCTGTCTTGTGGATATTGGTTTCCCCTGGCTACTATTGTAAAATAGATATTTAAGTGGGATAGAAAGAAATATCAGGAAATACGATTACAGAAAGCTTGTAAGCCTGTCTTCAGCCTGTAACTATAAAGGTAGAAGCTGTGTAACAAAAGTGGGGGAGTAGTTAATCTTACATTCCAGGAACAAAGGACCCTAAGACCATCAAGAGGTAAGAGCATGAGCAGAACATGGGATCCTAACCAGAGAAGCAGCGACACCAGAGATGGAGGCAGAGAAGAGTGCACGGAGAGATAGAGCAGCTGAGGACTCTAGACTCACGGAAAGAGAATGGCTGTGTGCTGGCGGCCAGGAAGCTGGCTTGCAAAATGTGCCCTTTGATTGTTTAAATGATTATATATTCCTCAGTGGTTTTGTGTACATCACACACACACAAAGAAAGAATAGAGGCAAATATTGTTAACTGATGGCTCTTGGAGGGGTTGTAATCATTACAATGAAACAAAATACAACAGTTTGAGTGTAAAACCAGTGTCCTGCCATGTAAACTATTACTCAATTCACAATAAAAGCTTTTTTTAAAAAAAAAAATTCGTCATGCAAATATATATCTGGTTTTGATGAAACTTTTAGAGTTTAAGTTTGAATGATTGTTTAAAAACTAGTGACATCAAAATTTACATTTGATGGAACTAACATAGCCAACAGATTTACATATCCTTTTTCAAATACTGCTAATTTCTCTTTTTTCTTCGATTGTGCAGGGATATTCTATCATGTCACAGGGGGCACAAAAATCAAAGAGGCTTAATTGGTTACCAGCAAAGGAAAGCAAAAGACGCAAGAACTGAATCATTCAAAACATTTGCTAGATTCATGCTTTCATGTCAAAAGATTGGATGGTGGCCCAGGTTCATCAAGACGCTGTTTGTCAATCTCTGGTGGACAGAGCTGATTCTTCTGATGGGACATGCATTCGGCAGAAAACCTAAGAGTGGAAAAGGCAAAATCTGAACAGAAGGGACTTTTGCCTTGATACTGTAATATGAGAAAGATGGGCAAATTTTGTGTGATGTTACTTTCTAGGAGATATCACATCAAGATCATTTGGGGATTAAAATCATCAAAAGGGGAAGCGCTTCTTTCCAGAACAAAATGGACCTTTGAGTGCTCTGCCAAGGCACAGAGATGTGAAAACCAAGAGAGATGTGCTCTAGCTTTCAAAAGAGTTGTTTGGAAAAGTGCTTCCAAATGGCAAGAAAGCTCTTACCTGCTGATGAGAATTTTTACTGCTTTTGGTCCTGAACTCCTGGTGTGGCACTGTAGAATAAGCACTGGACTGCTAACCTCAAGGTTGGCAGTTGAAGCCTACCAGCTGCTCCTTGGAAACCCTATTCAGGGTGGCTGTAAGTCAGAACTGACTTGAAGGCACTTAACAGAAACAACTTGACATTAGTTCTACAGATAACACCATACAAACATGTAACTGGATTTCAAAAGTGGTGAAAACTGAAAGTACATAACATGAAACATCCAAACAGTTGAAAGTGGAACTCATTTGCTGAGATAGAAAGAAGAAAAAGTGAAGGGCTATCTTGTACTGATTGCTTGATATCACGATGTCCCTTGCCAAGCAGACTGTGTCATTCTGCAGCCACAGAGCTGATGGAATTTCACTGGAAGAAATCTTGAAATGGTTGGGATGTTTTCAACATATTGATCAAATGCTAAAAGAACATCGCATGAGATTAAAGAGGGACACATGTCAATTTACAGCATCATTCCCTTATCTTGCACCAAAAATCTAGAATGAGTTCATAAATGCCCTGGAAAATCATGCAAAGACACTTGCAATGGACATAAAGTCTACAAAGTACTTTAGGGTCATGCTCGACCACACACACAAATTACCACACACTGACCAGATATCTGAAGAGATCAAATATGTAAAAATCAGCAACAGGAAAGTTAGAGTGAGAAAAGTTTTTCTTCAATTTTTTTTATCCTTTAAAGGGGAATAAAGCTGCTGACCTCAGCTCTGATTTTTTTTTTTTTAACTTTTTATTGTGAATTGAGTGAAAGTTTACAGACAAGATCATCAGTTTTGCACTCAACAAATCCTACTTGCTACAACAACAGACACTTTTAAAGTCAAATGACTATGGATTGTTCAGATGAAGCATCAGATCAGATGAAAGTCATC